GTGGTCACCCAAGTGTCTTATCCTCGATATTGGTTGCCAATGGTCCGGAAGGTGAGTTTTTGCTATAATTGAATAATTTTACGTATTCTTATTGGATTTTAAAAGAAAATTGGGAAATTTTCATGAAAATGCATAAAATATAAGCAAATCTTAGTAGGGTCTTAAGGAAGAGTGTCGGATTTTTTTGGAATTTCAAATGGAAACGCTTTGTAAGGCATTTTGTTAGTTAGGATTAATTCGTTTTCAACGTATAGTTAGTAAGCAATGGTTCAGACTTTAAATTATGGTCGTATTTGTCTAATTAGAGCTGTTTCAAAGTGGTCACCCAAGTGTCTTATCCTCGATAATTGTTGCCAATGGTCTGGAAGGTGAGTTTTTGCTATAATTGAATAATTTTACGTATTCTTATTGGATTTTAAAATAAAATTGGGAAATTTTTATGAAAATGTATAAAATATAAGCAGATTTTAGTACGATCTTAGGGAAGAGTGTCGGATTTTTAGGAATTTCAAATGGAAACGCTTTGTGAGGCATTTTGTTAGTTAGGAATAATTTATTTTCAACGTATAGTTAGTTAGCAATGGTTTTGACTTTAAATTATAGTCGTGTTTGTCTAATTAGAGCTGTTTCAAAGTGGTCACCCAAGTGTCTTATCTTCGATATTGGTTGCCAATGGTCTGGAAGGTGAGTTTTTGCTATAATTGAAAAATTTTACGTATTCTTATTGGATTTTAAAATAAAATTGGGAAATTTTTATGAAAATGTATAAAATATAAGCAAATCTTAGTACGGTCTTAAGGAAGAGTGTCGGATTTTTTGGAATTTCAAATGTAAACGCTTTGTAAGGCATTTTGTTAGTTAGCATTAATTCGTTTTCATCGTATAGTTGGTTAGCAATGGTTTAGACTTTAAATTATAGTTGTGTTTGTCTAACTAGAGCTGTTTCAAAGTGGCCATCAAAGATTCTCCTAATCGTTGTTGGTTGCCAATGGTCCGGAAGGGGAGTTTTTGCTATAACTGAATAATTTTAAGAGTTCTTAATGGATTTCAAGAGGAATTTGCAAAATTTTCAATAAAATCTGTAAAAGATATACAAATCATAGTATGGTCTTAGGGAAGAGTGTCGGATTTTTAGTGATTTCAAATGGAAATGCTTTGTAAGGCAATTTATTAATTTGGAATAATTTGTTTACAACCTATAATTGGTCGGCAATAGCTTGGACTTTAAAGTAAATTAGTATTTCTCTAATTAGAGCTGTTTCAAAGTGGACATCAAAGTTTCACATCCTCGATGTTGGTTGCTTATTGTCCGGAAGGTGAGTTTTTTCTATAATTGAAAATTTTCATTAAAATGTGTAAAATATAGATAAATCTTAGTAAGGTCTTAGGTAAGAGTGTTTGATTTTTAGGAATTGTAAGGGATTTTGTTAGTTAAGAATACTTAGTTTCAACCTATAGTTAGTTAGAAATAGTTTGATCTTTAAAGTATAGTTGTATTGGTCTAATTAGAGCTGTTTCAAAGTGGACATCAATGTTTCTTATCCTCGATGTTGGTTGCTTTTGGTCCGGAAGGTGAGTTTTTGCTATAATTGAATAATTGTACACATTCTTATTGGATTTTAAAGGAAAATTGGGAAATTTTTAAAAAAATGTATAAAATATAAGCAAATCTTAGTACGGCCTTGGGGAAGAGTGTTTGAATTTTAGAAGTTCCAAATGGAAATGCTTTGTAGGGCATTTTGTTTGTTAGGAATAATTTGTTTTCAACGTATAGATAGTTAGCAATAGTTTGGTTTCTATGTATAGTAGTATTTGACTAATCAGCGCTGTTTCAAAGTGGGCATCAAAGTTTCCCATCCTCGATGTTGGTTGCTTATGGTCCGGTGGGTGAGTTTTTGCTATAATTGAACAATTTTATATATTCTTATTGGATTTGAAAAGAAAATTGGGAAATTTTCATAAAAATGTAAAAAAATATAAGTCAATTCCAATACGGCCTTAGGGAAGAGTGTTTGATTTTTAGGAACTTCAAGTGGAATAGTTTTGTAAGGTATTTTGTTAGATATGATTAATTTGTTTTCAAAAGTTTAACCTCGAAGTGATCAATACTTCTTCCTTGTTTTTAGTTGTCAATGATCCGGAAGGAGAATTTTACTACAACTGAGTAATTATAAATATACTTAATGAAATTTGAAAGAAATTGGAACAATGTTCGTTAAAATTTATAAATTAAAGCAAATGTTGATAGAAGCTTAGAACAGACAGTTGTGATTTGTTGGATTTCAAAAGTTAATGGTCCGGAAGATGAAATTATGATATAATTAGATTATTTTAACTCTTGTTGATAAAATTTAAAATAAATTGCGATTTTTTGCTTTTAGCTATTGAAAATATAAAAAAAAGTTGAGATGACATTAGGGAGGCTATTGGTATTTGTAGAATTTCGCGTAAAAATATTTTGTTAGGCATTTTGTTATTTAAATATTGTTTGGTTTCAATGTATAGTTGAAGATGAGTATAGTAGTATTCTAATTAGAAATATTTTGAAGAAATTTCCTCAAGATTTCGTTATTAAATTAAGGCTTTAGAAGATTTCCCAAGAGATTTTGTTTTACATTTCATAATTTTTGTTTTTTGTTCTAAAAATGTTATAATTTTTATTTATTTTCTTTTTAGCCAAAGTGTTTATAAGAAAAAAAGTGGCCTGTCGTGAAGTGTCCACTAAGTGTTTCATCCTCGATGTTAGATGCAATTGGTCCGGATGGTGAGTTTTTGATATTGTTTTATAACTATACAAAACTAATAATTTTGATTTTTTTTTAGCCAATGCAGTTATAAGAAAAAAGTCCCTACCGTATAGGGTCTATCAAAATGTTTGATCCTCGATGTCAATTGCAAATGGTCCGGAAGGTGAGTTATTGTTAAAATTCAAATACATATTAATTTTTATGAACAAATTTGTATATCACAAGCTTATGCTTTACACTAAATACAGATGAAACCTTCAAAGTTTCATTTAAAGAAAGTGTAAAAAGTCTACTGGTAAAACAAGGTCTTTTAGAGACACAATCGTTCCAGAACCAATTTTTATTAATCTCTTCTTGTGCTGCGAACTCAAATTCCTTCAAGATCACCCAACATTCTTCCAATCAATTTAGTTTTCTTCGATTTTTTATAAAATCACAATAGAATTCAATAACTTTTAATTTATATTTACTTCTTTATCCATCTTTTTTATTTATATTTTATAATTTCAAAGAATTATAATTTTTCTTTTAAAACCTCCTCTGTTGTTTTCTATTTGTTTTAATAAAATGTAAACAAACATCAGCTGTTTGTTTAACTTTCTTGGTCGTAATTACACTCCTAGGCGTATTTACACAAACTCGTACTTACACCAGTTAAGACGTAAAAATACATCTCTGCAATAGCCTAGCCGTGTTTACATGTCAACCAACAAAAAAATAACACTTCTGTATTTCCTAGTCGTAGTTACAAAACGGAAACCTGTTAGAAGGCAGGAAATTCCTATTTGAAATTCAAATATTTGAATTTTTGTCGTATTTACACCGTGAAAATGTGTATTTATTAGAGGAAATCATGTTTAGCAAAGGAAATGGACGTTTTAAAGCACGGAAATTAAAGGAAATTAACGTCTACAAGGGTATATGGTTAAAATATATGAAAAAAATTAATTTTTAAGGGAAATTTAAAAATAAATTAATAAAAAAATAAGGAGACAAGTGAAAAAATTAGGTAAATTGTTATAAAAAAATTTAAAAATTATGTATTTTATAAACAAATTTCGTTAACTTAGTTGTTATAAACTAACAGTCGGTTTCTCTAAATGTGAAATAACATTTTCATTTTTAAAAATATATTGAAAACAACAAAAATCTAGTTTTTAATACATTTATAAGAAAGAGCATGTTGTTTCGACATTGTGAAACAGGCAGTAAATTAAATTTTTTGATAAACAATTATAAATAAGAGGAGAAATCTTAATGTGTAATTTGAAAAGCATTTTTCCAAATTTTATATTACAAAGAAAAAACAATCAAAATAATATTAATGTTTAATTAAAAATTTGGAAAATATTTCTTGAAATATCATATTTTAAACGTACTGTAGTATTTATCAGTAATTTTTTACTTTTTTTATAATTAATCTGCATTTTGAACAAATAGCTCACTTTAGTGCAATGGATTTTTATGTCTACATTTTCTTCCACATTCTTCTCATCCACTTTTTTTTTTTAAATTTCATAAAATTCTAGAAATTGCTTAAAGCTACAGGTTTCTAGACCAAATTTTCCTTGATTTAATTTCACAATTTAAATATATTTTTTATTTATTTAATAAAGTACAATGTTAGAACATTAATATTAATAGGGAACATATAAAAGTAAATTAAATTTTTTGAAAAAACAAAAAATATAAATAAGAGGAAAAATCTTCATATGTAATTTGAAAAGTATTTTTCCAAATTTTATATTACAAAAAAAAAAATTACAAAATAATATTAATGTCTTAATAAAAAATTTGGAAAATATTACTTGAAATTTTATATTTTAAACATATTTATCAGTAATTTTTTACTTTTTTTATAATTAATCTGAATTTTGAACAAATAGCTTTACGTTCACTTTAGTGCAACGGATTTTTATTTCTAAATTTTTCTTCAAAATTCTCTTCATCCACTGACTAATAATTTTTTTCAAATTTCATACGGTTCTGGAAATTGCTCAAAGCTACAGGTTTCTAAACCAAATTTTCCTTGATTTAACTTAACAGTATAATTTAAGGGTCTTATTCATAAACTTTTATCAAAGGTTTATAAATCAAATTTTCATACAAAAATTGTACTATAAACCTTTGATAAATGTTTATGAATAAGGCAGTAAGTTTTTATTTATTCAAATACAGTACAATGTTAGAACATTAATATTAATAGGGAACATATAAAAATATCATTCTTTACTAAAAGATCTTTTGTTTATCTCAATATGGTTGTTCATTTCTATTCGAACGTTTCGATTTCTTCGGACGCCTATCTATAGAAGAATGTCCTGACGGACCACCACTATGTTGAGAATGCTCAAATGGTTGGGCATCTTCATAGGAATCATCATCACCTGAATTACTTTGCGCACTTTCGTGCAGCTCGAAAGTAGCATGAGCCGCTGCTTTTGAGGCATTCACTTGAGCTTCTGCTGCAGCTGAAGAAGCCTTAAGTGTAGCCTCTTTTGTTGCTTCGTAATCTATGCTGGCCTGCTTCAGTTGTTCCTCCACTTGCTCTAATCTTGTTTTGGCTTGACCTACCATCGCTGATTGAGAGGCAAGTTGATTGGATACTTCCTGAGCAGCTTGATCAGCATGTTCGGCTACAGCTTTAGCATTATTGAGTGCGGCTGTTAGCACGGAAATATGATTATGAGCCGACTGAGCTGTCTGCTGAGCGTACTTGGTAGCCACTTTAGCGGCCTGTAGTTGCTCTAGTTCTCGTGAGAGTGCTCTTTGGGCATTTGCTGCTTGGTGCTGTAATTCCTCTAACAGCACCTGTTTACCTTCTAAAGCTGCTTGGGCGGTGGCCGCCGCTTGAGAAGCAGCCTGAGCTAAACTATTTTTGGCCAAAAATGCCGCCTGTTTGGCAGCAGCATGTTGCGAGGCTACAGCAGTATAAGCTTGATTGGCAGAACCTTGTGCTATTGAACGCAAACCACTGCCTATGCTGTAACCCGACTTATGACCACTGGAGGGTGGTTCACTAGCTAAATGATAAGAAGGTGCATTAGAGGGATGACCAGATCCTCCACTCGAGGAGCTTAATTTGTATTCATAGTAATTATTGTCATATTTGTTGTCCACTGAACCACTACCACCCCCACCGGCAGCTTCATGTTCTGCAATTGAGTGCGACTCTTGAGGCTCAAATAGCGCACCATTACTATGTGAATGGCCAGCGTGTGTTTGATACGTACTATAACCATTACGTTTTGTCAGACGTCCCACTGTTTCTTGAGAACAGTGCAGAGCTAAAATAATAATTTAGTTAGAAATCTCTTTTAATCTTTAGTTTCCCCATATACGCAAAGCAGAACTGACCACAACTTACCTAAGATG